CTCTTTTTATTCATGAGAAATTTGCAAAGAAGACTAACTACTCCTTGGCTCCTTTCTCTTAGTGGAATAGACAATTTTACTTTTATAATTAAGTTTGTAAAATTAATATAAAAAAATCAATTAATCTGAAAAGAAATTTTTAAAAATTAATTGATACACTAAAAGAGTGGTTAAATTTTGAAAAAAATATTTAGGTTAACGGAATTTGACAAAGAGGTCCCCACCATTAATGATATACTTGATTGAAAAATATATTAATTGCAGTAACGTTCTAAATTAACGAACGAGGAACAGTATATAATAATTACCCACTGTAACCATTTAAAGACCCAATATTAACTGAGCTGAGTTTATAGTTTAGCCCACCGAAAAGATTTAAAACTTGTAATGTTGGGCCCACTCGAAAGTGGGACCCTCCAAAAATAGGCGTATGCCACTTAGCGTGGAGAGCACACGGTATTCTTTAGTAAAAGGCGAAAGAATAGTTCGCTTTGTACTCACCACATGGCTGCGTGGTTTGATTCAATAAGCTAAAGCCCTTTTTTATATGCGTCTCTCGCTGAGAACAAACTCTCAGCTTCTCGATGTGGGACTTTTGAAACTACTTCTTTTGCATTTTTTTTTGTTTTCCTTTGATAATAATTATTAAGTACGCTTTTGTTTCTCTATTGTTTGTTTTATTCGACAACTAAAATATCCATTTCACTTCTAATTACAAATCCCTTTCTGGTTAGACTTCTAATTAATTTTCTATCCATGTTTTTTCCTAATCCCAATCACAGCTTCAACCTTACAAATCTTCTTCATCTGTGTTCTCCCACATTCACCAATATAACTGATAATTACAACCAATAATTGACCTTCACTAAATCAATAAAATTATCAATTCGTTTGTACCCTTTCAAATCTGCATTGTTCGTTTTCTCCATCAAAGCAATGAAGGCGCACATCTTTCACTACTCACTTACCGAAATCTAAAAGGATAAACAACATAACACCTTTACGTTGAAGTTCAGTGGTTTATACACCAACCAAAAGAGAATTTGGATTACATCAAAATAAGACGCAAACCCTGGCACGAGTAGCTGCTTTGGTCAACCACTCACATAGCAACAAAAAAAGAAGAGAAATTCCATAACAGAGAAAAATTACAAAAGAAAGTTCTGCCTACAATTATCCGGAGAAACGAGTTTTGGTTGTAGATCTCATGAAAGCCAACAGAACCAAAAGAGTGAAAAGCAGCAAGAGACCAAACCCGTCTGCCATAGCTACCGATTTGGAAGGCAAGCTATGGCCTGAAGAATCTTCTTCCTTGGACCCTGCATTGCAATCAATGGAATGGTACCAAGTTCATGAAATCTGCTAAAAGAATCCCAATTGTTTTAGATCGATAAGAATCAACAGGATAGTACCATTGGAATGATGAGATCTTTTAGATCACTTTCTTTCATCTGCTTTATCGTGGTCATATCCACCTGTTGTCATATCAGTCGAGTTTGTTGTTATTGATGATGGACAATGAAGATACAGAGCTCAGACAACAAGTTAAACATCCCTTTTATATTAGTAATTTTGATACAATCTATCTGTGATTGTATCTGCTGCATATTGAAATGCCAACATGAAAAGCACCCGTAAACTAGCACAAATAGCCAAAATGGCAAAGCTCTAGAATAAGAAAAGAATGGCGCACTTACTTCCTCTCTCTTAAAGGCAAGGGAGTATTTTCCAAGTCCAATTGAATTTAGAAAGTTGTCAACTGTTAGAGGCTCTTCCACCTGTTGTAGCACCAATCAGATATACATGACATATTATAACATATGTGTAACAGCAAGGCGTAAAAGTGTTGACTATCTGAACACAAAGATTGCACTATGGGTCTAAGAACGCCACGTGATTTTGGACCATAAAACAGAAGTGAATGGGAAGGGCTCATCCAGTGTTCG